AATAGTGTTTGCTAATACGAATGACATAAAGAGTAATAGCAAAAGACAGATTAATCAAAAGAGTAAATGTATAAGTGATGAAAATGACTAAATAGGAAGAAGCTGATAACTTAAGGGTGATAATATTTTTATGTAGTGATTGTGGCTCAGAGATTAAATATTATCGGCAATGTGTAGCAAATGATTTGACTTATATTTTTATGACCATTTGATGAATACCTAATAGCAGCAACTATGACAATTACATAAAGGCACAAAAATTAGTCAAATATTACATTTGCCACACAGATTATACTATATTCATAACAAAGAATAAATGACCATAGTAAGGTATACATCTGTCCAAAGATTTCCAGATGAACTAAAAGGAAGGGGAAAACAATATCAAAGAAACAATATAGCTCTGCGAAGATAACTATATGATAGTACCAAATTTCATTTGTGTGAACAATGTGTAATAAGTTTACATTTTACCCAGATAAGGAGATAGAGTAAGACAGAATAAGGATATCAAGTAAGTAATTCGTATTCAACTTTCAATTAGATAAAAATAGGTAGAACAGCTAAGGCCAATGATAGAGGAAATAGTGAGATATAGGATACAAAAGCCAACAACGACAGAATTTGATACCAACTTTTGTAAAGTGAAGGAAAAAACAGACGAAAAAATGGCACGGAGAAAGGAAAGAAAAAAAGTAATAAAGAGTTGTATAATAAAAGACATAATGAAAGGGATTACAACAAAAGTCATATTGTTCTTCTATTGAGAATAGGTAGAAAAGCTAAGGCCAATGACAGAGGAAGTAGTGAGATATAGGATACAAAAGCCAATAGGGACAGGATTTAATACAACCTTTGTAAAGTGAAGGAAGAAAAAACAGAAGAAAAAATGGCACGGGGAAAGGAAAGAAAAAAAGAAATAAGAAGTTGTATAATAGAAGACATAATGGACGGAAAAATAATAAAAATCATATTGTTCTTCTATTGAGAATTAACTCTCTAAGATTATAAAAGAGAAAACATTATGGGAAAACTAAGTAAATAGAAATAAATAAAATTTTAATCCAATAAAGATAGACATCTAAAATTTTAAAATAAATCAAAAGAGCAGAAAGAAAAGCGTTTAAACTGTTTTGGTCAAAAAAGGGACAAAATCAAAGTAGAACTAAGGACTTGTTCATGGTAATCTTTGGACAGACTAGATCAAATTTAACAGGCCAAAATTAAAAATAAGCATCATCGTCACACACTAAAGAAGAAGAAGAATGAGGAGTGAACAAAAGGAGGGAAAAATGTTTAAATCTCGTTAGTAAATGCATATAAGGTAGATTCGTTCATAATAATTTTTGGACTTGTCATATAAAAGTGAAATCAAACCTGATTATAATTACCATTGGCATATACCAAAGCCATTGAAGGATCAAATACGCTAACTAAAAAATCGGTATACATATATGCATATATGATTATCAAAAAGATCAATGAGGAATAAAAATTCCATTACTATACACCAATAATACATAGAAAAGCGCAATCATAGAAGCATGAACGAATTTTTATCAATAGTATAGTAAACAACACAAATCAACACAGAATATATTCAATATCAATAACTTATATAAGGAGTATATAGGGAAATAAGTAGTAAACGTAATGTTGCCTTAAACACGAACTATAAGCCACCCAAACACAAATGAAAAGAGATAAATTAAAAGGTTGAGCAGTAAGTAGCCCAAAATAAGACCAAACAACCAAAAAGCTAAGAATGTTAGAGCAGGTAAAAAGGAAGAAGAAAGCAAATATTCAAACAATTGTATTCAATGATTATGACTATATCATAATCTAAAATAAGAATCTAGATAGCTAGAAATACATTGAATGTAATTTCTGAGGAGATGATATAAGAAAAAATAGGCAAAAACAGATTGTAATAATCACTACCGTATAATAGAACCAATTAAGGGGAAAATATGGATTTATAATTTACAATATGAAATATATAAGAGAAGTAAACAACATAAAAATAGTTTATGAATTAAATTTATAATAGAATATAGATTAAAAAAAGAAAAAACAGAATTTATATGTGTATTTTCCTATCATTAGCTCCATGCGTAATCTATCAACCATTTGACAAAAGATTTCCTACAATAGTATTTGTTAATATGAATGCCATAAAGAGTAATATAAAAAAATAGAATTATCATAATAGTAAATAAATAAGTAATGAAAAAGACTGAATTCGAAAAGGCTGATAATCTAAGAATGTGGTAATATTTTTATATAGTGATTGTGGCTCAGACATTAAGTATTGTCAGCAATGTGCGGCAGATGATTTGACTTATATTTTTATGACCATTTTATGGCTACCTAATAGCAACAACTATGGCAACTACATAAAGGCACAAAAATTAGTCATATATTACATTTGCCACACAAATTATAGTATATCCATGATAAAAAATAAATGGTCACAATAAGGTATAGATATGTCCAAAGACTACCAGGTAAACTAAAAGGAAGGGAAAAATAACAGTATCAAAGAAACAATATAGTTTTTTTTTTTGTCTAGATAAGGAGATAGAATAAGATAGAATGAGGATACCAAATAAGTAATCTGTATTCAACCTTCCATTGGATAAAAATAGGTAAAACAACTAAGGCCAACGACAGAGGAAGCAGTGAAATATAAGATATAAAAGCCAATAAGGACAGTATTGGATACAACCTTTGTAAAGTGAAGGAAGAAAAATAGGAGAAAAAGTGGCACGTGGAAAGGAAAGAAAAAAAGAAATACGAAGTTGTATAATAGAGGACATAATGAATGGAAAATAGCAAAAGTGATATTGTTCTTCTATTGAAAATTAATTTTCTAAGATCATAAAAGAGAAAACATTATGAGAAAACTGAGTAAATAGGAATAAATAAAATCTTAATCCAATAAAAATAGGCATCTAAAATTTTAAAATAAAACAAAACGGTAAAAAGAAAAGTATTGAAACTGTTTTAGTGAAAAAAGGGACAAAATCAAAATGCAACTAAGGACTTGTTCACGACAATCTTTGGACAGATTAGAATAAATTTAATAGGCTAAAATTAAAAATAAGCATCATCGCCACATACTAAAGAAGAAAAAGAATGAGGAATGGATAAAAGGAGGGAAAAATATTTAAACCGCGCTAGTAAATGCAAATAAGGTAGGCTCATTCACAATAATTTTTGTACTCATCATATAAAAGTGAAGTTAAACCTAATTATAATTAGCATTTGCATACACCAAAGCCAAGGAAGAATTAAATACGCTAACTAAAAAGTTGGCAAACATATATGCATATTTGATTATCAAAAACATCAATAAAGAATAAAAATTCCATTACTATAGACCGATAAGACAGAAAAGAACAATTATAGAAGCATGAACAAATTTTTATCAATAGCATAATAAACAACACAAATCAACACATAATATATCTAATATCAATAACTTATATAAGGAGCATATAGGGAAATAAGTAGCAAAAGTATTTGTAACGCTCTAAATGTGCCTTAAACACAAACTATTAACCAACCAAATACAAATGAAACATAAATAAGTTAAGGGTTGGAGCAGTAAGTAGACCAAAATAATACCAAACAACCGAAAAGCCAAGAATATTAGAGTGAGTAAAAAGGAAGAAAAAAAGCAAATATTCATGTATTCAATCATTATGAACTATATTATAATTTAACATAAGAATCTAGATAGCTAAAATACATTCACTGCAATTTTTGAAGAAATGATATAGAAACAAATAGGCAAAAACAGATTGTAATAATGACTACTCTATATTAGAACCAATTAAGGGGAAAATATGTTAAGTAGAAATACCAAGAGATATATATACTACTATACAATTGATAAGGATTACAGGTAAAAATAATTATATACGATTAAGGTTTATTTACAATGAGAAATAATAAATGCTTCTGAACACTATAGAAAACGACACAAACCAATGATAATACAACAAAGCAACATATTCAGCATCAACAATAAATATTAATAACACTTGAACAAAAATCCTTAATAATACCTGAAATATTCTCAGTCCTGCGTTAAACAGCCAATATCAGCCAACCAAGCCAAAGCCAAAGAAACAGAACTAACACAATAATGGGGTAATAAATAAACCAAGGTAAAACAGAGCAATAAATGATCAACGATGGAAGAGAAAGAAGGATGTTTGGTGTGAAAGAGGAAACATGAGAGAATTTAGACAGCATAATTAATATACAACGATAACATTTTACATATATAAAGAGTAAGATAACCAATAGCAATGTCACACGTAATGTTTATAAGGCGGTGCATGGAAAATGCAAAAGAAAAGCCTCTTCGGGTAAACAAAATACCCAAATTTTTTTTCTTTTAAAAAAAGGAGAAAAAAATTCCAAACAGTATTCAAGACAAAGAAAAGGAAAATGAATGAGAAAGAAAGAGAGAAATAGAGAGGAAAAAAAAAAGAAAGGGGAATACTTTTTTTTTTCTTTTTTCAAGAGAAATTTCGTACATATTCTGAAAAACAGATTGGGGAAAAAATCTCTAAGTCATTTAATGAGTCTAAAATAATAAAAAAAAAAACATACAAATCAATGTAAAAGTACAAACTGATACCCTATGGATTACAGATCATCAACATGCATCAGCAAATCAATAAATGCAAAGGAAATCGATTGGGGTAAATTAAGGCCGATAATTTCAGACACGACACGATAAAATAATACAAAAATAATATAAGATAAATAAATTTAGATTACATAATTATTAATTAAATTATTAACAGATTGACATGAATAACACAAAAATAAATGAATTAAATTCATGCTAACCTATTTAATATATTTAAACCGTTTAATTATACGGACCATAATCAATCAAGTCAACACAACCCGATCCGTTTATTAACCTATATATATACACGCTAACTTCTCTAATTCTCTTTCTCTCATTCTCTCACACACCTCACCCACCGTGAAGTCTCTACACATTAATCTTCTCCACCGCAAATCTAAACCACGGTGGCATATTTTCTATTCGTCGCGGTGAAGATCCTCCATTGCAAATCTTTTTATTTGTGGTGACTTCTTGTTTTGGCGTTGTACGGTTGCATAAGGGACGGTGAAATGGTGTCCTTGAGGAGAGGCAAAAGGCTCCGGTGAGATTGAAGTCGTTAAAGGAGAGAACGAGTGGAGATCTCCATTGGTTCGTCCTCGTCACTAGAAAGATCTCCCCTATCCAGGGAGATCGATGGCCGAACTTTCCTCCCATTTTTATTTTTTCTTTCTCTTTAACCAGTTGTAAATTTTTGTTGTAATCTTTTTCCAGATTGTTGTTATTGTGGTTGTGGACCTTTTCATTGTATTTTTGTGTTTTTACTTGTATTTTTTAGGTACTCTGGCGACGGGGACGGCTGTTGCCATTTCCTTCCCATTTCTGCAGCAAGTAAGCTTGACAAGGTTCTCTTCTCAATTTTTCTGTAGCAAAAGCGACGAGAGGTGATTGACAAGGTATTTTTCTTTGACTCTCTCTTCTCTCACATTCTTAAACCCACTTTTTCTCTGTTTTTCTTCCACACCAGAAACCGAACATTTCTGCACCAAGTAACATAGATGTCGGTGTCTTTGGTTTAATTGTCTCTGCCAATAAAGGAAAGGAGAGTGGATGACATCTTGGTAGATTAACATGATACGTGGACTAGTTATTGACATCTTGATAGTCAAGAATCTTTCACTTTTTTCTGGGATTTTAAAAGTCATTGTAGCTTAATGAACCACAATCTAAGGGACGATCTTGAACCTAGAAGCTCCTATTGTTTTCAACTTCCTAGGAACAAAGTTATTGACAATTATCCTAACGATGTGCATTAATCCGAGTGGCTAAACTTAATGCCCGTGGTGGCTAAATTTGAGATTTTAGAGGTCTTTGTGTGGATCTTGGTGGTAATCCGAGTTTGGTATTTTCACTAAGTACTTATTTTGTTGTTTAATCTTCTTCTCTTGTCTAATAAGGAATGGCTATGGGTAGGTTTTATATTTGCACGAAGGGTGTTTGATAAAAGGGTTAACTTAATTTAACACTCAAACTTTTAAATAAGTTATGGCATGTTGATAAAATTACAAAATGCCAATGGACTTGTAGATGGATGATTTTTAGATGGACTTGTAGATGGTTGATTACAAAATGCCAATGGATGATTTGTAATGGATAAAATTAAACTTTAAATAAGTTATATATTCATTCATGCAGTTTTTTAATTAAAAAAAACAAAAGCAAACAAAAACGACTTGTAGATGGATGATTTGCAAGATGGTGTTTCTAACTTTCTTGGTTTGGAGTCATGAGAAGTAAATATGTAGCTTCAATTGTGAAATAACTTTATGTCTTTCTGCTTCTTTTTGCTAAGAAACAAGATGGCATTTATTTTTTTCTCCCACTTGTAGATGGATGATTTGTAAGATGGTGTTGGAGTAAATTTAGAGTCAGACAGCACTACCGCATCCGCTGTTGCTACTAGTGATGCACCTATTGCATTAGAGTTGGAGGCGGATGTTGAGCCTGAAGCTAATTCCAAGAATCCGACCAACATTTCTAAACGTAAAAGGAAGCATACTTCTGTTGTCTGGAACCAGTTTGAAAGGCTTCCAATGGGTGCAGATCAGGAGCTAAAAGCCAAATGCAAGTAGTGTGGTGTGGTGTATATGGCTAATAGCAAGAATGGGATTGGAAGCAAGCGACGTCACATGCAATCATGTGTACGTAGAGACACGCGTGACGTGGGCCAACTATTGATATCACAAGACAAAGGGACTTTAGCATTGAGTGTAAAAAGGTTTGATGCTGAACACTTTCATGAATTGATAACAACAGCAATCATTTTGCATGATCTTCCATTCTCCTTTGTTGATTATGAAGCTATTAGGGCGACTTACCAATATTTGTATCCTGAGATAACTTTGGTAACTAGAAATACTTTAAAGGCAGATGTCCAAAAAATGTTTTCTCGGGAAAAAACAAGAATAAAATCTATGTTGGAGTTAAGCCCCGGTAGAATTTGTTTGACATCTGATTTGTGGACTTCCATAGTTACAGATGGATATTTGTCATTAACTGCCCATTTTATTGATAAAGATTGGGTATTGCAAAAGAGGATTTTAAATTTTTGCTTCATGCCATCACCACATACTGGTATTGCATTGTCTGAAAAACTTTATGCATTATTGTGTGAGTGGGGAATTGAATACAAGGTTTTCACTCTTACTTTGGACAATGCCTCTGCTAATGATGTGTTTGTTGATCTGTTGAAGAATTAGTTAATTGAAAATAATGCACTTATTTCTGATGGTTCTTTTTTTCATATTCGTTGTTGTGCACATGTTTTGAACCTTGTAGTGCAAGAGGGGTTGAAAGATATTGATTCAGTGGTTAAAAAGATTTGTGAGAGCGTGAAATATGTAAGAGGGTCCCAAATTAGAAAGAAGAAGTTTTTAGAGTGTGTAAATCTTGTGGGTCTTGATTCTAAGAGAGGTTTGAGGCAAGATGTACCTACAAGATGGAACTCAACATTCCTCATGCTTGACAGTGTCTTGTATTATCGACGAGCATTTTGTCATTTAGAATTGAGTGATTCTAATTACAAGGACTGTCCTGATCCATATGAATGGGAAAAGGCCGAGAAAATTTATGAATTTTTAGAACCCTTTTATAATATCACTTGTATTTTTTCGGGAGCTAAATACCCCACTGCAAACTTATACTTTCCAACTGTGTACACAAGTTATTTGTCATTGAAGAAATCTGAGAGAAGTGAAGATGCATATTTGTCTGCTATGGCAAAAGCAATGCTTACCAAGTTTGAGAAGTATTGGAAATATTTCAGTTTGATATTGGCAATTGTGATAGTGATTGATTCTCGTTACAAGTTGAATTTTGTAGATTATGTTTATGGAATGAAAGGGTCACCTCAATTTTTAGAAGTTAAGAGAAATTTAGAGTTATTGTTTACTGAATACTCTAAAGGCAAGGTTTCTACAATAAATGTTGTGACTTCACTTCCTACTCCTATTGCTAAAAATCCAGCACAAAAGTTTTTACAGAGGCAAACTAAAGTATTGAAGGTAACTATGTTTATGAATATAATTAGCATTCATGGTAAATATTTATATGTTGATTTTGTTAATTTAACATTCATTGATGAATACTAATTGTTCTTTATTTGTCTTTTTCATCTTGTTTTATATCTTTGTGGTTGTAGGAGTTCAACAACTTTGAAAGCCAAGAGCAAACTGTTACGCAGAAATCAGAGTTAGAAGTTTATTTGGATGAGCCAAGAATACAAGGGAGTGTTGAGTTGGATGTTTTTGAATTTTGAAAAGGAAATCAGTTTCGCTATCCGGAGCTTTCTTACATGGCTCGTGATATCCTAAGTATCCCAATATCTACTGTAGCATCTGAATCTGCCTTTAGTGTTGGAGAACGAGTATTGGATCAATATAGGAGTTCACTTATACCTGCCGTAGTTGAGGCATTGGTGTGTACTACGGATTGACTATTTGGAGATAAAGGTATATTTGTTATTTATTTGTTTATTTACTGTCTTAACTTATGTTATCTTAAGTCTTGACCATAAGTTATCTATTATGTGTAGAAAATAACAAATCGATTCGTGAAGCTGTGGATGAACTGAAGATGTTTTTACTATGGATATCAATGAGCTCACTACTGGTTCATCTCAAAATTCTCACAACTTCAACACCTCAAATGCAATGGAAGGTAACAAGAATTTCCTTGTGGCATGCCTAAGCTATAAATTTCATTTCATTAATAAAATGTTTTCTTTTTTCATGAATAGGTTAAAGCAACTGGAAACTAATTTTAGTTTTTAAAGCATAGTGGGACATTCAACCTCAAGGCTCAAAGAAGACATTTTCCTATATTTATCTTATGTTTTATGCACTTAAATATTCAAATGTTTGGTTATGTTTTTAAACTTATTTAAATGTACTTGGTTATGTTTTCAAACTTCTTTAGATGTTTGGTAATTGGTATGTTTTGAAACATATGTCATAAGTGATGTTTTAGATATTTTAATGTGTGTTGGCTATTATGCATGATTTTAACTATAAGCGATATTAAGTAGTCAAATATAGTTTTGAATACAATATAAAATTCCACTATTTTTGCTAGTTGGGTCATAAACGGGTTTTTTTTTTCGTGTTGGCCCGTCACGGCACGTTTAGTAATCGTGTTCGCGTGTCATGTCGTGTTAATCGTGTCATTAGCGTTTTGTGTTTGTGTTTGAGTTTCTGACACGTTTATTAATCGTGTCGTGTTTGTGTTCACTATAATCGTGTCGTGTCATAATCGTGTCGGCCCGAATACAACACGCGAACACGAATTGTCAGCCCTAGGGTAAATAGCAGATACAAAATCAACAGGTAAAAAAATCTTCAGACGAAGGATTTACCTACACATATGAGGCACCACGTAAACCGATTTCTGAACAAACGAATCAGCTGCTAAATAGGGGAAAAAATCTCCAAGAACATTCGAGAATCATCAATAAAATAGGGAAAAAACAATAGAATATTAGGAGGAAAAAAAACCAACAGCAGAAAAACAAAGAGATTAAAAAAAAGAACGACATAGACAAAGAAAGGAAAAAAAACCAACAAATGAAAAAGAAAGATAAAAAAAGGAACAACACAAAGAAATAAAGAAAAAAAAAAAAAAAAAAAAGGCAAGCGAAATCCATAACAAAAACCATCAACAAAAAGCATGAACCAAAAACAAGTAAAAACCCAAAATAAAGTGTTACACCACGATTGAGAAATTGACCACCCCTTTAGACGACAAGTGCCTAGACCTCCATGTCGAGAACCAGTCGCTGGAGTCGAAGGATCAACTGTACGTAAGGTGCCTTTTATACGTCGAGAGTTCATGCGGGATGACGTGTGTCGAGAGCCCCGATGAGGTGGTAAAGGCCACGACGTCGAGGTAGCAACCCGGTCTAATCCAAAGATAGTCCTGTCAACTCAAGGAAGATGCACTGTACTAACTACTATTGTCGAAGTCGGGAAATCATGTAGCCGGTAAGGGTGGTTAGCGTGACCTGGAAGCGGTAATCATGAAAATACAACTGCTAAATTCCAGAATTAAGGGATAGAGCATGATCTCCTCAGGAAATGCAGAGGAGGTCTCTAATGTGTACAAGGCCTATAAATAGAGCCATGGGAATTCATTAAGTTTTTTACGCCCTACTGTACTACTCTAGAGAAATTGTAATCAAGTGAAAAAGTTGAAGTATCAGGCGTCGAGATTCACCATGCACGATGATACTCTCTATCGAAGGGGGTTCTCGACGCTTCTGCTCCGGTGCCTCGATAAAGAAGAAGCGAAGAGGGTGCTCTTAGAAGTACATGACGGGATATGTAGAAACCACGCAGGGGCAGTCTTTAGCTTATAAGGTGTTGAGGCAAAGGTACTACTAGCCCAACCTCAAGAAAGAAGCAGCTGAGTATGCAAAGAAATGTGAAGGCTACCAAAGGTACACCTCCATCCCTCGGCATCATTCAGAAGATCTAACGTCGATAGTCTCTCATTAGCCTTTCGCTAAATGGGGGATTGATCTCATCGACCTATTACACAAGACCCCTGGGGGATACAAGTATGCCATTGTAGATGTCGACTACTTTATGAAGTGGGTTGAAGCTGAGCCACTGACGACGATATCGGAGGAGAAATGTACAAACTTCATATGGAACAACATAGTTTGCCGGTTCGGTGGACCACATTCTCTCGTATCAGATAACGGGAGATAGTTTAAGAATGATAACACCAACTAATTTTGCGAATTGCTAGGTATCCATAAGAACTTCTCCTCAGTTGTATATCCCCAGTCCAACAGACAGGTCGAGGCGGTCAACAAGATCATCAAAGTTATGCTAAAGCGACGGCTCGACAGCTACAAAGGAAAGTGGGCAGATGAGCTACCGAAGGTCCTGTGGGCCTACAGAACGACTAGTAGGACGACTACAGGGGAAACTCCATTCTCAATGGCTTACAGGGTGGAGACGGTCCTTCCAGTCGAGATATCTATTCCTACCAACCGAGTGATACGGTATGAAGAAGGTAGGAACGCCGAGCGAATGGGCTTAGAGTTCGACCTTTTGGAAGAAAGGCGTACAGACGCACAGTTAAGGCTCGCCGCGTACCAAGCCAGAACTGTTAGGTACTATGACAGAAAGGTCAAGCATAAGCGGTTCAAAGTAGGAGACTTTGTCTTACAAGTGGTAACCCCAAATACTAAGCCCAAGAACTCTGGGGCCTTGGGCCCAACTTAGGAAGGACCTTACAAGATAAAGGAGGTTGTGGCTAATGGATCCTATCGAGTCGCAGAAATAAATGGTCGGGACATCAAGCACACATGGAATGCAGACTAACTAAAGATCTACTACCAATAACGGCGAGAAAGGTCGACCTAAAAGGTTACACTTAGAATTTTTGTTTTGTTTTCTATTTTATTTTTGCAGGCTGAAAAGTCGACGTGTAAACTCTACATAAATAAAAGTCTGATTGAATTTTCTACTCATTTGATCTATGCAAAATACTATATCTCGCTCGACTTGGCTCTACATAATCAAAGATCTACTATCTACATCGACCAATAAATGTCGACCAATCTTGCGTCAAAGATAAGTCGAAGACTATCTTCGACGAGGGGGTAGTAAGGCCACCTTAAGCCCTGTAAAGATGGAAAAGCCCTGGCTTAACCATATTTAACTAAAAATTCAATACGTCCGCAACATTCATATGCAAAATAAACATCTATATATATATATAAATATATATATACATAAATAAATAATAACAAGTCTCGACCTTATGGCCTTTACAGAACAAAAAGTTTTAATGTCTTGGCCTGATGGCCCTTTAAGAATTATACATATGAATAAGTAGAAGAGAAGAGTCCTCATGGTGCTGCCTCATCCCCTGGCGCTGCCTCGACCACCTCTACCTCCTCGTCGTCAAACTCGTCGAGGAAAGACAAGTCGACCTCTGGGCGCTTCCTTTGGAAACGGTCGAGAATCTGTTCCCTAGCATACTTTATCAAAGAAATTTGAAGCTCCTCAAACTCAGCAGAATCTTGGTAGGCATCAAGCCTCTGGGTAAGAAGACCCTCAAAGGCTTCTGACGATTTGAACTGTTCCACTCGCTCCTCAACTATGTTCCTGAACTCTTAGGACGACTTGAAACCCTCAAGCCGAGCGTCGACCGAACAGTGAAACTGCTCAGAGCACAAGAATTCCTCAACAACTTCCCTTTTCTTCTGTTGGAAGACGGGAGATGCAAGGTACGCCCCGACTGCCTTAGAGCACCCCTCGTTGAAGCCCTTTTGGAAGCTCTCACTTTTCTCCTTGGCGATCGCCCCCTTTAGAGATCTAACTTTGGCTTTCTCGGCCTCCAAGTCCGAGGACAGCTCCTCCTGAGCAGCATGCAGAGCTGAGATTACCTCCTCTGCAGCCCTTGATGGGACGCCTTGCCTTAGCAAAGCATCGAGCTTTACATAGTTCAGGAGCATAGCTTCGAGAGCCTAGACAACGAAAAAGAAAAGGCATGGATAAGACTCACAGAACAACTATGTGAGATCGGAGGTCGAGAAGTGAGCAAGCAAAACCTACCGAGATTTGGCGGACCATTGTTATACGATGGCGCTCCAGAATGTCCATCCCTGCGAACTTGTCCTAGGAGTCTGGGTGAAAGTGCGTGTAGATGGCCTGGATGGAAAGGCTGAAGCGAGAAGGGATCCGCAGAGCCCGGTTCATGGTCAACCACGTCCAAGACAAGGAACTGGGGGTCCTTAATCTTCGACCCCAGCATCACAAGGGGCCCCTCAGGCACATGAGGGACCTTCAAGTTTACCGCGACCTCGGCGCCCTTTCCTTTGTCCAGACGTCGAGATGCCCAAGTGGACCTCTCGACTGACGAAGGGCCTTACGGCTCCTCCGTCCTTGGCCTTTTGGAAGCCGGGGTGATGAACAACCTTCCCCGTTCGGGGACCTCGGTGGCGCTAGGGGCTGGAGTGGCCTGGGTCTCCGGTTGACTCAACGACCTAGAGGAGGCCCCTCCATCCCTCTTCCTCAGTTTCGGCGGGATAATGTACCACATATCGGACGGCACGACTGCACAATAAAGAAAATGTCAGACCTGAGAATTCCTTGACCACCTCTATTTTCTCCTGCTG